CTTTAGTTGACTTCAGGCTTCACAGAGGGGAAGGAACAGCAAAGTGAAAGAAAGTCGAGAGGGGGGGACAAAAGAGTGTTTCAAAGACGAAGGTAGAAAAAAGGTGAGTGAGTACTGTAGAAGTAATCGAATATGACGTCCAGTGGCGTGATGATTCGGTACAGAAAATAAAGGTACTAAATATGTTCGGCAGTAAATTTAGAGATGGCAGTTCTATTAAAATCCCTACTTTATCCATCAGGAATGAATTCGCATAATAGTTGTACAATGAGTTTACCGCATTGAATAGACTAGAATGCGTCGTTTTTGAACTTCGATTTTAATTGCTTTTTAGATCAATGAACCACTCTTACATTCATGATCCTGAAGCAAACTGAAAATACTAAAATTTCCCTCTCAAGCTAATAAGTTTTCCTTTCTTCCAGATGATATATATGCAATCTACTCTTCACATCTAATTCCACCTTATATAAAGTAATGAATGAATGAATCATCTGGCTAGTAAAATGTAGGAGTTATTTAGCTACATTTGTTGCGAAATTTCCGATGCAGTTAGCTTTCAAATGAAAAAAGGTGTTTGAATTTTAATGCCCCAGGTCATGACGCAACTAAGTAAACCTCAAAAGTAAAATTAAAAAGCAGACTATGTCTCACATATTTCTCATTTTCTAACATCTTCAGCTTCATTTATTCAAACAATTTTATTCTGTTTATTTTGCTCTGTAATGGGTAATAATCAAACTAATGTCTTTACTCATCCTATTTAGTGTAATTTACTTACTTCATAACCTATCATGTGTCAAATCCTTACCAATTAATATTTGAATTGGTTATATATAATTTAATTCAGTTACGGCTTAATCAAAAATACAACGTCCCTAATAATATTTGAGCGAGGATTCAGTTTCTCAGGAGGGTAATAAAGACCTCGAGTTGGAGTTTCATTCAAATAGCCGACTGATAAAATTATTCCGCCATATTGGACAAATCTTTTGTGCCTCACGAATGCCAAATTTTGATTTACCACTCTTGTATATTTTAATTAAAGTTGCATAATCTCTACGTTTGTGGCAGGCATATCCAAATTTCACCCACCCGCCCTCTGGTTTAATTAGATCAAACGATCAAATCCACAACGGGATTTAACACGTACCAATATGCAGCAGATTTGTTTAAAATAACTGCTCAGGCGAAAATTCAAATATATGAAAAAGATGTTTCAACCGTTCTACATTTTACAACTGTTCATTGAATGGCGTAAATATAAAGCATTTGAGTACAATAAAAAGTTTAAATGATTTATCTTTTGGAGGAATCTTTGCGGTTCTGTTCAAATAAAGAGATATGAACTCAGAGATATGGCCAATCAATGCAAAGCCCCACCGCTGTAATAAAGGATCTAGCAATTTACACTCTGACAACATTTGTGCTCATATTTGAGTGATATATATATATATATATATATATATATATATATATATATATATATATGTTCACCTAACAAAATGCTGAACAAATTAATGATATATATATATATATATATATATATATATATATATATATATATATATATATTTATCGTTACTTGGGCATATCCATCACAATAAAAACTCATAAAAGAAAATATCCAAATAATATTCATATTTAAATACGATTTTGATAGAAAGATGTGCTGTTTACAACCAATTACGAGACCCAATGATTTTTGCAAAATCAGGCGAATAAAAAACTGATAATGACTGGCAGTGTATTGAACTAGCACAAGTGTAAACGAACACAGTGTCGTGTCCAAGCCGCGCGCGTGGAAGAGAAATTAGAAGTTTTTCCTCTGTTAGGCTCACAGCGTTCGAGCAAACTGAGTTGTTCTATGATTTATAATGAAACAGCTAAAATTTACTGAAGGCAAGCCGAAGTTAGAATTCGAGATATCATATCAAGTTATCTTTTGCTCTAATTTTGACTTTAACTTGAGATGATCATAGTTTAGACTTGAAAAATTGCTCTCTATATCGTTTTCTATGATCAATAACCTAGACTAATTAGCTTTTTCGTAAAAAAGTTTTTATTACTATGCATAAACAAGAGTTCATATAAAACAAATGATTGAGCAATGGCCTCATTCCTAATTTCATAGTTGTTGGTTATGTCATTTTTTGAAACCAACCGTAAGAGACATTCATAATAACCTTATGCATTCAAGGGGTCAAGGAAGTGGGGTAAAAAAATTTCATAAATTAAAAATTCACTATGGTGGCTACTGAATATAGTGGAATATAACCATTTATACTTTCCCCATTCCCACTCATACCATAGTAGTTGCATTTTCAATCTATCAAAGGCTGTTCCATTCTTTAGATACCACTAAAATAGACGATTGCTTTTGCTTCAAAATTGTAGGAGTTGTAATGCAACCGATGGTTATGAAGCAAGTTCTCAATCAAGTTCTATCACATCAACACCGTGTAGCCTTCTTCACGGGTCTGGAACTAAATATTGAAGAAATGCCGCCGGGAAATCGTGCTAAAATGTCTAACGTTATCACCAACGTTGGTGGAGCTTACGATCAACATAACGGTCAATTTTGCGCTCCGATTGATGGTGTTTACTCATTCATTGTTGCAATCTCAGCACAAGGAAATAAACAGGTTAATATTTCTACTTACTATTTGAAAGTAGTTGGATTGTTTTAAAATCTGATTTAATTTGTAGGCGGCTGTTCGTCTTATGCATAACGAAAATCATATTTTTGATGTTTGGAGTGATAGTAGACCTTGGTCAACCGCCACCAATCATGCGATCGTGATAATGAAAAAGAGTGACTGCGTTTGGTTACAACTTCGTGAATCGGCATTTTACCTTTATGGTTATATGTACTCAACTTTTGCTGGTCATTTGTTATTCGAATATTCTACTGACCAAAATTGAGTATCAGTAAGGAAGTTTGGAATCAACGGTTTTAGTTACCATGCGATTAGACAAACATGTCATTAAATACTGTATTTATTTTGACTCCAATTCGTGCATTTGATGAATAAAATAAGCTTTCAGGTTTAAATGTTTTAATTGTTAAGAAGTTGTTGCGAACAAATCTTTATAACTTAAGGTTGAATTTCAAGAGGATATTTCTTTTACCAACTTTTATCGGAAACTTTAGTGGCTTTTATTTGCTGTGTAACAGGTCAGTTTCTCACCTATAAAGAGTGTAACTCTTTTAATCTCCAGTAAGTGGCCTTGATAAATTGGTCATCAAATTTCATTAGGCTACTGTTCACTCAAGCGCGGAAAGAGAAGGGGCAAGGCTAATGCGTAACTCCTTCAAAGTCACTTTTTTGACATTTCAATATGACTATTCATAGAAAAATATGATTTATATCCTTTGAGAGGAAAAAGACGACTTGACAAGACTAACTACCTAGGTCCGTGTGCCAGCGTGCATCTTAACACCATTTCGTTTCTATTTATTGCCCGATTCTCCAAGTACATTGATCCTATGTCTCTCCGTTTACGGTTCCTAATAAGTTTACGAATTTTTACTTTGACTTAATCAGGAGATAATAACCATACATGACGATTGATAATGCTTAATGCATTTTGCCAGCCCAGTCACATTTGTGGCATAGGAATTACAGTAGCCCTCCACACACCGGACTAAATTTCTATGGAATTGAATAGCAAGTGTGATGTAGCCTGCCAAAAATAAAAAAATAGTACAGATTTGAGGAATAAAAGCAGCTGAGTTGTACACGCATGAGTAAGAATTCTTGCACTTCTTACGTAGCAACAAAATGTCCTCATTGGGTAATCCCAAAAGGGGGGGGGGTCGTGTACGACGCAGTCGTTGAGCATAACGGAAGTGAAGTGCTAATTAATGACTAGTGCAGAAGAGAGGTAAGATAAGCTCAGGTCAATGAGTGAAAACCACTTTGTTGTCAAAATTTGAAGTTCGTATAAAATTAAGTCTCAAAATCGAAGTTAGTGAATGAAGAAGTGAGTGCAGTTAAACCCATTACACTTAAATCCGAAACAATTTTGGTGTAGTTATAGTCATTGAGTAAGGAAACAAACAATCGATCTATCTTTATTATAAATAAAGAAGTGCAGAACAATCCCCTTTATCCGCTATTAACGCATTCGATGCCATGAAAACCGCCTATATTAATTCAAATGGACGAATATTTGATTTTTGTTGCAAGAATAGAATGTCTACTAACAATAGTTAGTAGCATATCTAGAGTTGTATTTGGCTAAGAATAAAAGCTAAATGATTACTTTTCAAAGTACAATTATTAATAGCCATGCAAAGAAAGCTCTATGGAACTTTACAAGGCAAAATTAAGGAAATAAAAGTGCTTACACGGTGTCCAGTGGGCACGTTTACCAAGCCAAAATCACAGATCTATAACGTAGTGCGTTACGTACAGTGGGAAGTTACAGGTCAGGCTTGAAAAGAGGAGCAAAAAAACTTCCAATGTAAGAGAGGAGAAAAGTTCTCCGATTTCTAAAGAACATAACATAGGCCTCTCTCCACTTTCTTGATTGACACTATTTCCCATTCTTCTTCATAGTATAACGGACAATTGTATTATGAATATTGGAAATAAGGCAATCCACAATACCGAATTAAATTGTCGTTAGGTTAGTGGGTTCTACGATAAAACAACATTGTATTAAAGTAGGGGTAATCAACTTCTCCTCAAATATGTGTCTGATAGAGATATAAGACGCCCAGAAATCGACAAATGTCATACTATTCTGTAAGTTCCACGAACAGTACATGTCAATTTTATGCTACCGGCTTCGGTTGGGTGATTATGGGGGACCTAGAAGGTAGAAGTGACATAACGCGGCCTGACTCCGTTATCAGGCGACCATAAATAATTAGTGATAAAGATTACCAGACGCATTAATTAGAGAGAAGCTTCATGGAGTGTTAATTATTTATGCAATCACTTCCTCGTGCATATGCGCAGCACTTACGGAATATAAAAAAATATTCCGCGTTTTTTGTATATACAGTTTATTAAAATGCGTCCAGATATGGGTTCAGCTGAGTGCAACGTATTTCGAAATAGAGAGCTCGCTTTATAAGAGTTCATATTAAAATTTTAAGAAATTTTATTTTTTGTTAAGGTAGGCAACTAATAATATCATGGAGACTACTCTCTTAGTCACGTTACGACTACAGTAGCAGGCGCATAGAGGAAGAACAAAGAAATCTCGGGATCTAGAGAACTCTTCAATCTTTTATGTCTAAAAGGCATAAAATATCCCAATTTTTTACCTAAAGGTAATACAAATACTAACACTTCAGGTAGGAAATGGCAAGAGGAAGGGTAGATATGGATAAAGCTGTGATGCAAATTCAAAATAATGTCTTATGGGGCATAATTGAATTTTGAAAGCTGGGTTAAAAGTATTCAAATATATTTTCACATTTGCTTCCGTAATTTACGATGAAACATCTAACAAGAAATAGCTCTAACTACCACTATCTTCATATCAGTACTTAGTTAGCACGAATTTTCATACGATTTTACATGATTAGTAAATAATAAATTTACCAAATTCAATAGATGGTAAGGAATGAATTTATTTCTTAAGTTTTGCTATTCCCTTGTTAGTTCCTTTCTGATTATTACTTAGCTGTGGTACATTAGTTTTCAATCCTATTTTCTTCCTACTACACACGCAGATTGACCTACTTCATAGGCTGGAAAGTTTCAAAACTGATTGTAACTTCTTGTGAAGCGCATTAACTGATGTCTCAAATGCCAGCAATGAGATCCACTACTACTCCCCATGTGTCTGCGCGTCTATTTCATCAAACATTTTGTCATGACAGGTCAAAACGAAAATAATGCTAGCTCGAATTGACGTGAGGATAATGCCATATTTAAATACATCTAGAACTTTTCAAATTCACTTGTGGCAAGGCTTCTGATCTCTGGAAATAGCATAGAAGTCCACTATGGTCAGCTCCATAACGGGTAAGTGCGACCGTCGTAAATAAAACCGCATAGGTAAACTTTACTTTTTAAAAAGATGTTGTAATTTGAGTATATTTAAGGACATTACTGCATGTTGTGAAACAAACGATCTCATCACATACAGTATCAATTCATGACAAACTTATGCGTTTGCCTTTAATTTCAAAAGCGTTCAGTTATTGGCCAACTTGCATTGATCGTGAAAAAAGATCTATGATAAGTCCACAAATCCCGTAAACAAACCAACTTCACTAACGTATCATTAAAAGGATATCTAGGTTACATCTTAATCCTAACTTACCTTCATCAATATTATTCTGGGCAATTATTGGTATGGGGAAGATGATAAATACAAACATGCCCATCAGTGACGCAGCATATAATATGAGGGTTTTGCAAATTGTTAATTAATAAATCCAGTAAACAGAAGGACCAATCCTTTCAGTTCATGCTAATTAATAGAGCGCCATAAAACCCACTCCCCCCAACCATCATTACTTAGATAAATGCTATAAACGCTCTTTTCCAATGGACTTGAGAACCTATTAATTTTCTTAAAACATAGTTTGAGGAAATTTTTATCTCAAAAATAACTTTTTACCACTGAGCAACTCTTTCTAATAAAACGTAAATTTCTGATTAGATATTAGGCAGCAATAATCATTCTCAGATTTCGTAAACTTCATATTTCCAACTGATACCTGTTCATGCTGGATTTATGTGGATAAGTGATTGGGCAGTGATAGGACGCAGCAAAGAAATGTAAGATTATGTGCTTCCTATAAGTTATTTACAGAGATGAGCGTATGACACCACCCAATAACGGTTGCCTTTGGATATCACTAGTTCTCTTCCTCTGTGCAGTTCAAAAGCGAATTTGGATTTAAGTTGTGGGAATGAGCCGAGGATCCAGCTTGACGTACGAAACATATCTCCCATTCAAAATATACCTCTCCTTATACGATAAATAAATAAAAGAACTCATTATAGACTGCTCCTATAACCGGAACCCAGACTTTTGTCTAAAAAGTTGAAGACAACTCATTAAATATGCTAATGACTTGGGATTTGGGCCTTCGGTATTGAAGAAAATTAAATTATAGTCAAATGCCAAGTGATAGACTTTTTTTCGTATGAATATACGTTGTCCAGGCTGCCCCACGTGGAGGTAAGTCTATCGGGCACAAATCCATGAAGACATGACAATTTGAGTATGGGTGACTTTAGATAAGGTCGTTATCCATTTTTTCCTCTGTATTTGGTTGTAATTTACTAAATACATTTCGATGTAATATAGACCAGACGTACTACCTCTGGAAGCTTCTGAAGGTTTGAGCGCTTCTCCCAGTGTGCTATGCACATTTCTTTTATTTCAAAAGGCGGCCTAATTGAATGCCGTAGTCATATAATTGATATTAAAGACTTCGTCTTCTGTGTATTTTAATGTAGGACTGTTAATGGACTAATTTCTATTTTGGTAAAAAAGTGCTTATCTGTGGTCTACTCTACTGCACATTTTGACTGATTTCCGGTCAGTGTTATTTCTGGGACTTTTTAAACGCCCTCTTTCCACACATATACTAGCGAACGATGAAAGGAAGTGCAGCATCATGTTAAATAATCAGGAAAGATTTGGCTTTTTATGAAGCTGTTGACGACTGTAATGTCCATTATATATAAAAACTTCAAAATATATTAAATAGTTTCTAACGCTTAAATTGACCAGGAGTGGCAAAATGCTATTAACTGATTAATTCCCTTTAACATGAACAAACGATCAAGTCGTGAGATGTGCGATGGACTTACCTCCACGTGGTGCACCCTAGGCAACGTATACTTATACGGCAAAAAAGTCTATTTATCGGCAATTGACTTCTGACTTCAAACTACTATGTCCTGACTGTCTGTCATATTCGACCCCTTCCACAGTACTCATCT